TCAGATACTGACAACGACCTGCTCAGCGAAGATGCAGATGAAATTCTTTCAAGTGATAGTGATGGTAGTTTGGACGGTGCAGCGCTCCTCAATCGTGACAAGAGGAAAGCCCAAAGAGAGCTGGAGAAGCGACGTCTGCAGGCAGCTATCGGCAAGCTGCGACGTGACTGGAACACAACCACAAACAATTGGAACACGCTGCCAAAAACGAGATGCAAGCGCTCGCGCAGGATGATGATGCTCTGAAGAAGATGCGAGTAGACGGCTGGGAGCTTGGCAAGGTTTGTGAGATGATGTATATACAACATGAAACTAATGTGGTATATGTTGTATGATGTTTAGATACCGCATCGCATCCTGAACGAGCAGAACCATACCCGAGTCTATACAGTGGTGACAATGGACCAACGGAGGCAGCGATTGAAGTAGCTGAGTCCCCGTTACAACTCTTCTTCTTCTTCATGCCTCGTCGGCTTTGGCGCCGGATAGCTACTGAGAGTAATCGATACTATCCTCAGCATCTCAGTGGACGGGTCGACAGAATACATGCGAAGCGAGTGGCTGATGACGCAGAGTTGACTAGGGAGGCTGTGATGTTGTGGGAGACCAAGGAACACAAGGACATAAAGCCAGAGGACATTGTGCATTGTATCGGGCTCCTTATCGCGAGGATATTGGTCCCTCACAAGCGCTGTTTTGCGGATCACTGGGGAGCGACCCGGGTAAACGCTGTGCCAAAAGGCACATTTGGCGACTTCGTGGGGAAGTCGCTCTTTGAGCGCATCATGCAAAACTTGCATTTTACCGACAACACAGACCCGAGAGCTGAAACGGACCGCGCCTGGAAAGTCCGCTCCGTAGTGGTCACGCTACAGCAGACGTTTGCAAGGGGATACAACGTTCCTCCCGTTGTGTCGTTCGACGAGGACATGATTCCATCAAGAAGTCGTCACAACGTGACCAGGCAATTTATGAAGGACAAGCCCCACAAATGGGGCACAAAACTGTTTATGACATGCTGTGCTGACACAGCGTATTGTCTACGGTACGTAGTTTGACGGCCTCCATCGTGGAGTATTTTGTTTTTTGGCTAAGTCTCACATGTTGTATTTGTCTACCTCTGTATTATTTGGAATGTTGTATTGTGCTGCATCGAAGTCTGGAAGTATTTTGTGGAACTAATTAGCACTCAGACAAGCTCGGAGGTCAATCAACGACCCGATTCTCAGCAGACCCGAGCTCTGGCCCTGCAGCGTTATCCGTAATCTGCATGAAGTTCTTCCTGCCCCAGAAGAAGGTGTGTACCACGCTGTGGTGATGGATCGATTCTATACGTCGATCCAGCTAGCTTTGCAGCTCCTGGCTCGAAATGTATACACGGTTGGCGCTATACAGCCAAACAAGAAAGGATTTCCACCAGCCCTCGTGACCAAAGCAGCAACTCGCCCAACTCATATCCCCCGCGGGACCAGCACGATCGCCGTCGCAAAGGGCTGCGATCTTCTACAGGTAATGCTTTGGTGGGACCGCCTTCCTGTCTACCTTCTCTCGACTGGCAGCAGTACATCTATTGAAACCTGCGGTAAGTTACTTTTGGGTCGTGTCTTAGTGATGACGGCTTCCTAACTTATGCTGTTGTTGTTGTACCATCGAAGGGCGGCATCTACGTGGCGGCAGAAAGGAAATCATACCCTGACCATCAGCGATACGCGACTATCATCGCCGGATGGGCGGGGTTGATATCCACGACCAGCTAAGGCTACAGCGCTATTCACTGCAACTCTCGGTGCGCTTTCGAAAGTACTACAAGACGGTATTCTTAGGCCTAGTCGACATGGCGTTCGTGAATGCCTATATCATTTTCCGTGAGGATCGGAAAATGGTTGGTGAAGGTGCTGATCATGCCGAGTTTTTAGCAGAGTTACAGGCGCAGCTTTTGCAGGTCACTTCGGCTGACTTCATTTATGAGGTATATACTTCATGTTTGCCGGCGATCATGTGGTAGATGTTGAATGGTATCTGACTCGTTTATTATCATGCAGACATTTTCACCAGCACCTTCCGACCAAAATGTGGCCTCGATATCGGCTGCCCACAAATTGACCGAGTTTCCAAAGTGAACCCAGATCCGGGAAGGTGTTCGGAAGAGGCCACAGCACCAGTGCAAGGTCTGCTCGATTCGCAAGCAGAAGGTCGGCCAGCGCAGTGCAACGCGGTTCTATTGCGAGGCATACAGCGACGGCAACAAGTAGTAAGTGTGACAGTGGCTTATACAATCGTAATTTGACTAATTGTACCTCTTCATGCACAGTGTCTACCTCTGTGACATAGTCCGGCCGGGCCACTACCCAGGAAACACCATGACATGCCACCAAATCTGGCATGTCATGTGGAAGAACGGAGAGGAGCGGCCTCTCCCTTGTGTTGGTCGTGGAATCCAGATGCGCAGCCCGGCAAAGAAGCGCCGACGCGTCGCTAGTGATAGGGAAGAAGGCAGCGGCGCGGAGGAGGGAGGCGCTGGCAGCGGTACTGTGGAGGGGGGGCGCTGGTTCCGACACTGATGTCGGCGCTGACGAGAGAAGTGGTGGGGAGGGATGTGCTGAAGAGGACGATAGCGAGTAAGAGTGGGCTTGTCGATAAATACCTAACCTGATTCAATATAAATGTGTTGCAATCATTGATCACTGTACACATAGCCATTGAACTTCGTACATGGCATGTTCGAGCCCTGTAAAAGGGACACTTCTAATATGTTGGATATACGTCTTCTTCAGGTTTGTTGGCGCAGCGTGGGTGTCTTAGACAGCATGTGGATACATAGCGCTGCGAAGAAGCTTGCAATCAATGTATCATCGAGCGTCTGATCTCCCCGCAGTGCCGAAAGCGTATTCGTACTTACGGAGGTCAATACAAAATTCAAGTTTAGCCTATTTTTAGCATGTTGTATATACAACATGTGGGGTCGTAGACAGGGACCGAAAATAGCCGTTCGTGCGGGGGGGGGGGGGGTAGGACTCAGGTCCTAAAGGGTTAACTCGATTAATTTTTAATGCTAGAAATTGCTGTTTAGATATGTCAGAACTTTGATCGGTAGAAATGCGGGAGCTGTGTAAACGCGCTGCAATTCGCAATCCATCACATGGGCAGGATACAACGAGGTGGTTTTGGCACCGTGCCAGATATATCGGCCACCTAAGACCTTACACAGTTCAAATATAATGTATGCGTATTAGCTAATATTAAGCTGATATTTAATAATATCAAATTGTCTTAGAAGAATATATCAGGTAATATTTTTCTATTTGCTGGTATACTGGTGATTTTTTCACAAAGCTTATTAGCTTCCCCGATTTCGGAGTTACCATAAACCCCTGGTAAGAAAATGTAAGGTAATATTTTTTTATTAACTGGTCTACTGGTGATTTATTTACAATATTAGCTTCCCCGATTTCGGAGTAACCATAAACCCCTGATAAACCCCTACTTATTAATAGTCATGCTCTGGTAGGTGACCACAAGAGTGACGGGTCGCTCTTTAAGTAACTTGTAATTGCCGTTCTTGAACCTGTGTGTACCACACGAGGTTGAAGCTGGATAAACGAACCGTATGAGACTGTGGTCCACACAGCCTGCTTAAAAGTGCCTTGGTATTTGTAGCTTACAATTGTAAGGCTCAGTACGAAAAAAGAGGGGTCCAGAAACGCCACAATAAACGATCATGATGCACCGCAGCTTGATGCGATCCGGAACAGCCATGACCAAGCGCACGGCGCCGCGACCCTCGTCGAGTGTGCGCCACTTCCGAAAGAGTGCGTACCAGCTGCTCTCCTCGTTCTGGTCTATACTGACATGATATCTTGGTTTTGCAGGCGCCCCCACTAAGTACACGGAGAACAAGGAGGTCACGGGCCTTGCGGGCATCGTGGAAGGTAAAACCGTTTTTGCTCTCATTGTACCCATTTTCCGATGGTATTAATTAAAGCATCTCTGTTTCCGTTGCAGCCGACAATCACGCCCTCTCTGTCAAGCTGCAGCACCTGACGAGTGTCAGCCTCATGGGCGCCGTGCCGCTTGCCTTTGTGCTCAGCCCGTCGCCGCTAGTGCTTCCCGTTGATTTGGCGCTGGGCTTGATCCTGCCCGTGCACGCCCACATTGGCATGAACAACGTCATCTCGGACTACGTTCCCAAGAACGTCCGCACGCTCGCGCGCCTGGGCTGGCTCGGCGCCACGTCGCTCATGTTCTTGGGCCTGCTACGCGTTAACCTGGAGGGACCTGGTATCACGGAGGTGGTCAAGACCGTCTGGAGGGAGTCGCCCAACAAGAAGAAACTCGAGGCGTAGATAGACTGAGCTTTCTTCTCGGCGCCCGTCTGGGGACGAGGCTCCGAGATGAACCCGATTACAAAACAGAGGTGGTATGTCTTAAAATTGAGCAGCTACTCTAATACGACCTTGAAAGAAAAGGTATCGGGAGTCTATACCTGCATTGTCTGAGCACGCTGAGCACGCTCACCTTTAGGTAGACGACGTTTTCTCATTGGATGGAAACAGCAGTGTAGCTTGTCCATCGACGACGACAACGCCATCACTTGCTTTCATGCACATGGTCTCGCACTCGACAAAACGCTTGCGTACTCTCACGACACGGATGTGGGCCGTCACCTTCTCGTCCACCAGTAATGGTGCTCTCCAGCGCAGATTTTGCTTAACGTACACAGCGCCCGGCACAGAGCGGCCGAAAATGGTGGCGAAAAGACTGGCGGAGAGCAAACCTTGCACCACGGGTTTGCTTTCGGGTGTGTGCTTCAGAGCGAAATCGGCGTCTACATGCAACGGGTTGTTGTCGCCCGATAGTCTCGAGAAGGCACGCGTGTCTTCGATCGAAAAAGCGTGACTCACCCGAGCCTCCACACCCACTGGTGGGATGGTGCCGACTGGGAGCTACAATAACCCTTGTTAGTCGAAGCAATACAATACATCATTAGCAGTGACTACAATCACCTGGGTGAGTTCTCCTTCCACGACAAAGAGACCGCCACGCGACGAACTCAGCGATCGGTAGTTCGCAGCCTGTCGACAATTCAGTAGGTAGCGTTGCAGCATCTGAAGTGTGCACTTACTAGCCGAGCGCTGCCGCTACGCGGCGGTACTTTAGGTTTTGTTCTAGTTATTTGCCCACTTCGCTTCGGCGGGATATTTGTTTCAAAACCTCTGAACCCCTATGTGCCTAAATCGACTGATGGATTGGACACGAGAAGCATTCACCAGCTTTAATTCGACAAAATTTCAGCGAATCATATTTAGCACCGATGCCTCTTCCACTTGTCACTTCTCCATTACCAGTATGGAGGAGTTCTTCCAATACATCGGTCCCGATGGCGGCGCGGCGACGTCGTCCGCTCTTCTAAACCGCGAACGCATGTTCGTATACTCTTCCCCGCGTGAGAAGCAGATCGATCGCTGCGGGGAGCTGCGTGTGGGCTCGTACTTTGCCTGTTCGAGTGTGCTCTACTACGAAGACCAGGTGTGGCTCAAGATCCGTCGCGGCTACTTCTCCAACGCCAAGAACAATGGCTACATCCGCGTGCAATTTGAGCTCCCTACTGGCTCGAAAACCATAGATGGCAGTGATTTACCAACCCGTCAGATCTCGTCGGCGGTCACAGCACAGCCAGCACCCTTCCGCTACATGCGCAGACTCCCAGGTTCGTTTTTCTGACCAACAAAACATTGCAAATAATCGACTAACTTGATATTTCTATACTGTAATTAACAGAATTCCCGACGTACATGTGTGCACGCGACCGCTTGGTACTCTACCGTGAGCCAGTGTTTAATCTCCACTCAGCGTCAGTGTCTTCTTCCAGTTCTGGTGCTAGCTCCAATACACCGCAACATATGCAGCGGTTCTTACCGCCTGTGAGTGTATTCCAAGCTACAGAGTGTCGATTTAATCAGGATTTTACACAACTAGCAGTAAAGGTGACGTCAGCGTTGGCTGGGTTAGGAGGCTGGATCAATGCTTCGTTCCACAAGTCACTGATCGAAGTGGAAGACCCGAAACAAGTGGGATATTTCCGCAATGGGCCAGTGTATCTACAGAATGTGGCTGGACGCGGAGGCAAATGGGCAGGTGAGCTGCCAGTCCGCGCGATCCCAAGCTTACAAGCACCACGTCTTTACAATGTCGAGAGCTATCGCGTTGTGCGGGCGATTGAACGTAAATTACTCAAGGACCGTGTGTGGGTTCGGATCCAACCGCTAAAATCGCAACAAGAATTGCAACAAGGAGGCGAGAAGAAGAGTGAGGAAGAGAATCCAGCGGAAGAAGCAGGTGAGAATCAAGACCAAGAACATGAGACCGCAGGACCCGATGCGTGGGTCATTGAGCGTAATGCCAATACTGCTCAAAGAGTGATGGTGCCGTGGGGGAGCAACCGTATCCAGGACGTGCCTGCTAATGACAATGCCGAGCGGTATTACCGTACCGTATACAGTCGTCGTCCTCTGCCTTTACGTCGCACTGCTGATCTGCAAGCAGAGATCGTTGGGCATCTCGAACCAGGCTCCGTGTTCTCGTCAACTCAGCGGGTTCTCAATGACAAAGGACGTATGTGGATTCGAGTTGCAATTCCATCGGAAAAGCATACGTCTTTTAGCAAAAATGTGGACGAACACGAAGATAACAACACAAGTCCAGACAATAACGCTGAAGAGGCAAAAGAGGAAGAAGAGGAGTTCGAAGACCTCGGCAAGTCTGTTCGATACGGCTATGCGATCCAATCGAACGCCAAGACCAACACTTGTATGGTCCAGGAGATCCCTCCACCCGGAAAGATGAACCCGAAGCAATACTATCAAGTGTCTCTCTCTGACGACGGACTACCGCAGAATAGTAACCAAGATGATGGAACGACTGCGCCAGAAAACACAATAGCGGCTCGTGCAGAGGCGTCCAATTCAGCCAAGGAGCTGTTCTACGTTAAGAATGGCGCTATCGTGTCGGCTGTCGGCACTGTGTTCAATGCTGAACAGGGAAGGATGTGGCTACAAGTATTGGCAATAGAACTGGACCCTGCCATGCGTGTCAAACACCAGTGGCCACTGTCCGATGCCGAGCAGAAACTGAACGTAGTTTACCTTCCAATGTGTGGAAATAGCCATGAGACTGTTCTCAAGCCTGTGCATCGGGAGTTGGCGAGGATCGACAACCCTCAAAAGGCTGAGAAGGATAACGCGCGATCTCCGTCTCGTGTGGTGTTCAGTGGCCGCGCGTCGAAACTTTTTGGCTCGCACTTGTTGCGTCCTTCTACTATCGACTTGCCATCGACGTTTCCAAAGAAGGATAAGGCATCGGGAACTCTCAGTAGCGGCATCAATGTTTCAGATCCGGTAGCACGAGCTGCTGGCGGGAATGACCACACACAGAGTCTCAAGGACGAGATAACTGCGTGGCAGCTTCAAACGGGTACCCGTGTGACGCAACTGTATACTCAGATCGGCGCTTTGGCCAGCTACACGTTGAGTTGCGTTCGTCGGCCATTCACGTCGTGTCTGGCGCACCAAGAAGCCAAGCGGAGATACCGACAACTCGACCAGGACGAAGAGGGCATGGAGGAATATGCCCTCGACGACGATGACGTGCGCGTTTAAGTTGCACTAACGATAGGAATTTGCGTCAGAAGGGCCCAAAGAATGAAGTGTTTTTGAGTCATTTTGTGGCATCTCGGTGATCGCCAGCAGTTTTTGTCCAATAAGATAGCGTAGGTTATAAATCAGATCTAAACCACCACTCCGCATGTCAAAAGATTCCAGCGCTCAGTTCCCAATCAGCCAGCAACAACCAAGATGCAGATCCTCTCGACGATCACCGCCGCTGCCGTAGCTATCACCGCCATTGCGCTCGTCCTTGCCGAGCAGGAGGTTCACCTTAAGGTGCGCGTGACCGACAAGTTCTACGTTACGCCCATCGGCAAGCAGTGCGCCTTCAACAACTGCGTGGATCCGTCCATGTACCCGTGCGCCAACAGCGGCGTATGCGTGCGCCTCAACTACACGTACGGCAAGTGCAGCGACGACGCGAAGGACAAGGCGACTGAGCAGGACCTCAACGACCCCAAGCTGCTCTGCCCCTTCCCGAACCCGTACAACAGCAAGCTCGGCTCCGTGGACAGCGACGAGAGTTACGACAGCTACGACAGCTATGACAGCCAGTAAATGGGAAGACAGAGTTAATCTGCCAACTTCAGTGTAGCCACACAAACATGTACATCTCCAAATCCACCGCTTTAGCCTTTATCGTCTTGATAGACGGACGCCATTAGTGCTCCCTCTCAAAATCGCTCACTGAAATCGATACCTTCACAAGTCGATCGTAAACTCACATCGACAATGACATCGGATGCGGAATCGACTCAAGACACCGACGACCTTGAGGCCCAATTGACGGCGCTCAAGGCCAAGAAATGGGCTCGCGGCAAGGAGCTGACTGCGTACATCAAGGACATGGCCTTACATACTGGTAAACGAGCCGTCGTCAAAGTGAGCGGCGGAAGCTACAAGAAATTCGTGTGCTCCAGCGACTCAGCATGCCCATGGCTCCTTAACGCCGTCTATTCGCGCCCTAAAAAGGAAGAGACTGCGCGATTCTGGTACGTGACGTCGGGTTCGCTAGCTCACGACCCGCAATGTGACAGCGTGGCCAAACCCACGACCAGACAGCTCAAGGAGAGCATGCTACTAAGAGACGCAGTATACGCCGACGCCAGCGTGTCATCTGCCGACCTAGTAGCGCAGCTAGAGGCCGCCCAAGCTTTTCAATGCAGTAAAAGCATGGTGTATAAGGCCAAAACCGACCTATTGGACGCTTTAGAGACTGCTAGACGCAACGGAGACGCCGCTCCGGAAGTAGTCGAGTCAATGCAGAAACTACCTTGGTATATGGAGCAACTACGTACTCTGAATGCCCATATCGCCACTGTTATCGATACCGAAAGCGACCAAGACGTGTCGGATCAGAGCTCGGCCGCTGACGCTTTCTTCTTAAGAGCCCTTTTAGCTCTAGACCCTACTTGTGTATGGAAGAACCAGTGCGTATTGGGTATCGACAGCGTGGAGATGCAGCACACGAGCTACAATGGCACAATGCTGGTGCTTATAGGTCAGGACGGAGACTTCGAGCCTCTATTACATGCCGCAGCTCTCGTACCCGAGGACTCTATCGAGCACTGCACGTGGTTCCTCTACAAATTGATACTACATGGCTTCCCGTTACGTCGGTTCCCTGTGGTAGTTAACGGGCGTGGAGACTTATTCTCTGCATGCGCTGAGCTGAATTTACCATACGTAATGTTGTGTACGCAACATTTACTGCGAGATATGCGCGTAGCTCATGAAATTGTGCTGGAAGACGAGGACGAGACGCTCGTGTGGAAAGCTCAGAGTGCAGAAGCTGAGAGCGAGTACCTGACGTTTGTAGCGCAGCTTTCTCGACAGAACGAGGCAGCAGCGCAGTATATACGTGGAGTAGAGCCAACGAAGTGGTGTTTGTATCCGTATTTGGCGAAGAGGAAGATGTACGGGTGGAAGACAACGCGGTTCGAGCAACAGGATCTTGGGACGGAGACACTGGGCTTAGCTCCAGTGAACAAACAGCTACCGTACGAGTGTATTAAAGTGTTATCCGTGGTAGCAATGCACGCAGCTTTTCAACGACATGAGCGTGCGACGCAGTGGGAACGGGAACATCGTCTAGTGACCCCAGAAGCTGAACGATTGATGCAGGGAGAACTCGCTCGCGTCCAGCAATATTCCGTCTGTATGAGCTCATCTCAGCTCGCGTTTGTGTGGAATACACACAAGGCACAGATCCGACAACGACGTGTGGACTTGAAGCACCGCACATGTACCTGCTCACGTCGACTACAGTGGGGCATCCCTTGTCGACATGTGCTAGCGGCGTTACAGAAGCTAGACGCCATGGATCAAGCTGTGGAGTTTTTCGACGAGTGTTATCTTGTATGCAACTACGCGTCGTCATTCAAAAATCGAACGCTGGAACTACCAGTGGAAGACAACCTGAAGTGCGACCCGACCTTACGCCCACCACGGTTTGTAAACGAACAAAGGGCAAGTAACGATGCCAACGCGAAGAAGAAAAGACGTCGTGTACGGACCCGTCCGATGAGTCAACGTAAGCGAGCGATGTACAAGTGTCATAAGTGTCATCGTGCGGAAGGTCACAACAAAGGCACTTGTCCGTACTAACCGCTGTATGGTTAGGATATTTCACGCTTTGAATTAGGGTAAATAAGCTACGGGGTTCAAGAAGGCTTCTCTAATGCAGCGTGACGGGTGCAGTAGTAATCGTACTTCTGGTACGAACGACGATTGCATCCTTCCTGGTTGCAACGATTGCCACCTCCGTGAGCCCAGTATAGTCCACCCTGGGTGGATACTTTGGTACATTTTGGGAATTTACAAATGCGACCGCCACCGTGCGACCAGCAGTGAGCAGGCCTTCTTCGTGCATCCGGGTTCCGTACAAGTTTTGAAGCCTCCATGCCGGAAACATCGTTGATACAACTTGGCGCGCTTGGTGCATCCTGGTTCTATACAACGCAAACCGCCACCGTGACGGACACAATAACCACGGGAGACTGCGAGGTTCGAGCACCCGTCAGCTTGACACTGCGGTGTGCGGGTGCGAGTCTTGACTACTTGTGATGAAGGTATCATGGATAAAGAAAAACTGCGTGGTGGAGTGCACCTCAGTACCGTCACTGGAACTCGAAGCTGCACTTGAAGCCTGGCTAGCTTGAGATTTGGCGGTCGACGACAGCGCAGCTAGCATCGGAGGGATTTTTGTTTTCTTGCCACTCAAGTACTGGGAGTAATTACGCTTCTTCTCGTTTGGCACGATACACGCTAAAATCTGTCACCGGTACTGCAACGAAGAAGTGGCAGCTTGCGGGCGGACGAGGGCGAGACTGCGAAACAGGGACATGGCTTCAGCATATTCTGTTCGGTTCATTTCGGCCTTGACTTGGATTGGATTGAGCAGATAAGTGATGTTCCACTTGCTGCACATGGTGTGGATGACGATTGAATTGCAGTGTTGTGAACGTCTGGACAATTGAAATATGGTTTGAACTGAAAGAACCACTGGAACTCGATCACATGGAGACTGATGGGTACAAAGGTAAGCGAGCAGATTTGAGAAACGTAAAAAAAATTGTCTGCAGGCGTTTGCAAGATTGAACACATAAGCTCGGGTCCAATGCGGTTGGACGTGCGTCAAGTTGGAGAGTTAAGGTTTACTACGTAGTAAAAGACAGCAAAGAACAGGCAACTTCGTGAATCCTGCTGCAAAGGCAAGTCCCAAACTGTCGGTTGTGACTGTCTCCGGCACTATTCTGTCGACAAGATGAGTGTTGTTTTAAGAAAAGTAAAGCGGGAAGTTGGTGTGTGTGACGGCGGTCACTTCAGTGCGTACACATTGATTATTATTCGCGACAGCCAAACTTTTTTACTGGCACAACACTGTACAGCTTTTGATAAGTTGGTTGGCAATCGACCTGTTGGATGGAGACCTATTCGTGTCTTCTTTCGGACATCAGGCGCGTTTTGCAGTGCAGGTATCTGCGTCGTGGGAGGGTTCACAGGCGTACGCTTGACGAGTGACGGGGCTTGTCTTTTTAACGGCGTGTCAACACACAAGTCGTGCCTAAGTAGCTGACTGGGCCGATAATAGGTCGTGGGCCCTGGTTGATTGCAAGATCTCTCTTTTTTTCGCTACCACGATTACCTTATTGGAAAAAACTACGTAGTACGAAGTATTTCAAGAAAAATGTAGTACCTTTAACACTACAGTAGTAACCTACAAAACGTAGACAATACAGTACCTCCAGTTTTGCGAACATATCAATGCCAAGAGGAAATGAAGCGCCTGCAACTTCACATAAAGTATACCGTAGTTTTCAAAAGCTTTTGTAAAAATTATAGGATAGTACTATCATTTTTTCTACATGTAGTTGTCAACTCTTTCGTGGTAAAAAAAAAGTAGCTATAAAATTAAGTTGCTAGGTGCATGGCGTTTGCAATAGTAGTTGTACTTCTGATACGAACGACGGTTGCAACTCTCGTGCTTGCAGCGATTGCCACCTCCATGGGCCCAGCACAGGCCACCCTGGGTGGACACCTTGGTGCATTCGGGAAATTCACAAATATGACCGCCGCCGTGTGACCAGCAATGGCCGTAGCGCTTGGCCTTCTTGGTGCAACAAGGTTCCGTGCACATTTTGTAGCCACCGTGTTGGAAGCAGCGCTGGTACAACTTGGCACGTTTATTGCAGCCGGACATGGTGCACTTGGATCCGCCACCGTGGCGCACGCAGCGTCCACGAGAGACGGCAAGGTTCTTGCATCCGTCGACCTGGCACGGAGGAGTGTGGGTCTTACGGGGTCGGGAGATGCTTGGAGTGGGCAAATTGTCCGACTGCTCGTCGTCACTGGAGCTGAAGCACTCGAAGCACAGTGCGGTCATGGACATGGCCGGGAGCTCGAGTGTGTTGTTGTTGAAGCCAAAGCACTGGCGTTTATCAGGTGAAGCAATGTACAGATGACGACCCGTGAATGAGACTGAGGTGGGTTCCGGGCTTCTCGTGATGGGCGAGAGGCTATTAAAAAGTGATACCGACGGTGATATTGGTGCATGCTCAGGAGTCGTTGGAGCTAAGGGCTCCGATGGGTTTAGGAGGAACGAGATGGCTGTCTTGTTCATGTCTTGAACTGTGTGGCGTGTCTGTTGAATGGTAGAATCAATAATGAATAAGAGATTCGATTGTCGCTTGTTGATTCACCAAGCGACGTTTGCAAGTGCCCGGCCAAAATTGATTCACGGTGCGTGTTTATAGTTGCAAAAACGCCATCTGATTTTCATCAATACAAAATGCATTCAGGATACCATCGTCGTTGAAGCATGCGTCTCGCCACGCAGCGATCCTGCTGCAGGTAAGCAGTCTTAAAGCTCCTTATTGGCCTCAACGGAACAACTGCGCGCCTCAGTCGTTTGCCAGGTCGTCTGCGTGGACGGCCTTCCTATTTTATTAAGTTAATACAACACGTTAAGAGAAACGCAGCATGGCGGTGACACGCGGTGACGCCCGTTAGACACGCGGCACCGCCAGAAAAACTTCAGAAACTGCGACGGTCCCATCTTATTCAGACACTACGGTTGCAAAAGACTTCCACGCAGAATAATCCAAGCAGCCATTGCCGCCACCCGTCTGTCAGACAGCATGGCATATTTTATAATCACGTCCAAACTAAGCGCTGTACAAGTATGTGGGGACTGAGCATAAATGCCAGCTACCTATCCCGATACAATACAATGCCGGTTGTTGAACCTTTAATGCGAGTTGAAAGATGCGGTTCCCAGTGGGGGTTTTGTGGGTTGGATTACCCCGGGGTTACCCACACACCCACCCCTTGACTCCGATGTCAGGTTATGGGCTTATTAACTGTACAGAGTATATCTCAGGAAAGTAATAATGCATTATTAAAGGCTATTAGCGTTTAATAGTAAAAATATTAGATGCTGTAGGATAAAGCTGGTAAGGATAAGAGGACCCTTTACCCAACCACCCCACAGCACTCTTCTACCCATCCACTTTTCTCGAAAAACCCGGGTTTTCCAGAGCCCTGCTGTGCCAAAGCAGTGCTAAAATAATTAGATTCATACGGTATAAAACTTTTTTAACACAAACTTTATTATAAAAAGCTTATTCTTTATCAAAAAATGATTTTATTTTCGGACTTACCATAATCTACACCTTTGCCAATCCAAACTGGTGGTAGTGTAAGCCAAAACGGAGTGAAGTAACCGAAGTAACATCTAAATTTGAGGAATAATTTTTCAAAATTAGTTTTTAGAGCAATGTAGATTTAGTGTAGTGCAAACTGGCAAGAACGCGAGTGACACATCCAGCAATACGAACTACGGGCGCGCTGCGAACTGGGGTACACACAAAGATGTAAGGGGGCGTGAAAGCTGCGTATGGGCGCTAGAACCCGAGAGTGTGGGTGCACACAGTGACCTCTTAGCTTGTACAGCCTGCATAATCATCGATAGAGGGACCAAGGCGGCCAGCAACCCGATTAGACAGCGTACATCAAGGATGAGAGCTTTGGGCTGCGCTTGCAGATGTTAACTAGCCGTGGGGAATGGAAGGAGAGGGGTTGCAGCCCTGAGTTTGCGTCTCAGAAACGGCGCATCAGCGATTGACGTGCCATCAATCGCTCGTGTTGGGGCTGCTTGCCTGGACGGTCAGCGTTAAGAAGAGTTCTACACTTCTAACGGCGTCCGGTGCGGGGCGCTCGTGGCTATAGCCAATGCACTAATGTAATGTACGTGGTGCATGTGCAGTACTTTAAGTACTGTAGAAGACAAGATACTGTTATCGAGGCGACCATCGAACAGATAAATTCATCATTTTGCTTTACACTAAATCCGCATTGGTCTGGATTAATTTTGAGGATTTCTAACTTTTTTAATAAAAAAAAATTCTAAATAAGGGACACTCCGTTTTGGTTTACACTACCACCAGTTTGGATTGGCAAAGGTGTAGTAGAAAAGAGAAAAGTCGAGGTAATAAAGCAGCAGAAATCTGCTATACGCAAATGCCTAAGCGTATTTCTTACGGAAATCAAATTTTCTGGCGTCTTTTTGTTGTTTAGCTGAGAATACGAGTTCGCTAAGGAAATCTCATACAGTACAAGATCGCAAGCAACATGAACGAGGGCAAAATGCGAAGTAGATACCTTCATGCATGCAATTGAATCTTCGGCCAGCCTTACACGCTTAAATTGTCTTCTTTAATAACTATCTCGCGGAAATAGTCCGACGGCTCGAAACAAGCATTCAAGCCAAAGTCTTATGCGAATTTCCAACCTAATACATGGATTACAATACCCTGGTCGTACTATCACACCCCGGCTGACTCTGAATCAAAACTTACTGTAGTTGTTACAAAGACGCACGGTCTGTACACGAGGCAGTTTTTTTCGGCGGGCCTGCTCGCTCTATGGGCAGCGAAAAACCTGGAGACACGCAGCGCTGACGACGAGCATACAATCTGAGTGTGCAAACGCGTGCCTGAAAAGTTTCCGCAATGTCAGCCCTGGGTACGCGAGACGTGCTCCTACGTGCCAGGCAGATCGTGTTGGGTGAGCCCAGTCGTTCAACACCTCCGGAATTAAAACTCAGACTAAAGCTGTGCATGCAGAGGCATGTAACAAAGATGCTGCTGGGTCGTGAGCAGATTGCTCAGCATAGCAAGCCGCTTGCGTCGAGAGATACTGAAACGTTTCTTTTTTTGCTTTGTTGAAGTGATTTCGCGCGTACTTGGGACGTGAAATATGCTGCTACTAACCTTGAAAATATATCGCCTAAACGGATGGTGCGTTGGAGAAATGTTGAGGTCCCATATCTCGATCCCTTTATCCGAGTTGAAATTTTGCCATTTGTCTGATGCTACTAGGTTATTTGCTGACCGTTTACCGGTAGTCCATTCTTCAGTGTATCTTCACTTCAGATTAATTTGTTGACCGAAGGTAGTTAGACGCGAAGGAAGAGTCAGGCAAAGTAAATTGTAGAATGAATTACGAGAGCTGGGTCGAATCGGTCCTAGCTGCAATCTTGTCGTGTAGGCGTCCTGTGGGCAATCTAGGGACATCCTGAGCGTCTTCTTTGAGGATTCTCTGCCCTAGCGTCATCAATAACTCATAAATTGCACCACTGTCATCGCCAGGTCCGGTACGACTTCATGTGCCAGTTGTTCATCCGGTATCAGGCAACCGCCAATACCAACTCGCCCCCCCACAAGCGGCACATGGGGTAAAGTGCTTATTGGGCGTAGTCCACGAGGCCGCAAAGAGCACGCTTGTGCAGGAACTGGGTCCTAGCTAAGGCCTTTGTGAGTAAATCCGCTGGCATATCACCTGTGGGGGCATATTCCACGGTTAGTTCACCCTTGCGAATTAAGTTTTTCACCGCGTGATACTTCACATCCACAGTTTTCTGTGTCTCACTGAGCCCGTTCCTCTGCAGACGCTTGATTGCAGGCTGGCTATCCATGCACAGCTTCAGCGGCAAGTGCTTTTGGAGCACTTCGTCCGCGAGCATTTTCACCATCAATGCTTCCTCAATACCGATATCTGCTGCCACGTACTCAGCCGCCGTGCTAGATTTGCACACGATTGTTTGTTTCTTGCTGGCCCAGGCAACCGGGCATCCAAATAGGTACACCACAGATCCGGAGACACTTTTCCGATCCGCTCTGTCGTTGGCCCAGTCAGCATCTGTGGTCACGACGATGTCTTCAGTGGTTGGTTCGAGCTTCAGCTGTAAGGTTTTCGTCGCCCGGAGGTAACGTAGGAGATATTTAGCGGCATCCCAAGCCGATTTCCGCGGGGTGGCAGTGTGCCTCGCCAACTGACCGACTGTGAACATTATGTCGGGCCTTGACACCCGCGCCAGGTAGAGCAGAGCCCCTACTACCTGTCTGTATGGCATTTTTGCCATTAGGTCTTGCTCCGACTCTGTCGGGCCGTCATCCACGAAATCCAGACGTGTATTTGCCACCATCGGTAGGTGAGTAGGCCTGGTCGCATCCATCGCAAAACGATGAAGCACCTCATCGATATAGGCAGTTTGACTCAGCGTCACCATGTTGTTGCTTGTACGATCAACCTTCATTCCCAGGAACTGATGAGGACTGCCCATGTCCTTTACTTGGTATCGATCTCCAAGTGCTGTCATGAGACGGAGACACTGGTCTTCATTTTTATGCGCCACCAGGATGTCGTCGACGTACACGCACACGAGCAACAGTGTGTTTTCCACATACGCGTAGTACAGGCAAGGGTCGCATTGCGCCGGTGTGAGACCGTAGTCTAGCAAGAAAGAATCGAGTTCGCGATTCCATTCACGACCAGCTTGACGCAAGCCGTATAATGCTTTGCGCAGGCGCCATACCTTGCCTTTATCGCTAGGTTTAGCATATCCAGGCACGGGTTTCATGTATATCTCCTCCGTCAGACCTGCTTTCACGTAGGCAGCGGGTACATCCCCTTGACGCACGTGCATGCGTAATTTCATGACAATCACCAGGAATACTCGTACCGTGACGAGTCCTGCCACAGGCGCGTACGTCTCGATGAAGTGCACAATCCATATCTGCTTGTCACCGCGCGCGCATAATCGAGCTTTGAACCGTTCCACGTTCCCATCAGCGCCCGTTTTCAACCGGAATTGAAGAGTGTGATCGAGCACTCGGACTCCCGCTGGAGGATCTACCCATTCAAATGTTCCATTATCAAACAGCGACTTCACCTCGTCGTCAATGGCCTGCTTCCACTGTGTCCATTGTGGTGATCGTTTCGCCTCTGCTAGATTCAGGGGTTCCCTAATGACTTCACTCAGGACCAAAAAAGCTTGTGCGTGTAGCATGGTTCGTCTAGCTATGCGTTGCGAACGACTAACAGCAGCAAGTTCAGATGGGAACGCGTCCTCACGATCATCTTGGTTCGCGACTTGATCGACTTCTTCGTCTGTTTCTTCACCGTCCTCCGCGTCGTCATCCTCCTCAGCACTGGGATCCACTTCGAACAGCATGCGGTCAATAACCGATACATCTCTGGAGGCAAATATTGATCGAGATGTGCCTTTGGAGTAGACAAAAAATCCTTTGATGTCCTCGGCACAACCGATAGACGCACCTAGTTGCCCACGAGTATCCACAAAGCGTTTGGCTTTCCGACGAACTTGGTCTGGTACTCGAGCCACGACCGCCTGTCCAAATATCGGAAGGTGACTCACATCTGGTTGCTGCTTGAAAATGCGTTGATGAGGGGTTACCGTAGCTCCACGCCGAGGAATTCGATTTCGTATGTACGTGGCATGCTGCAGTGCGTACTCCCACAATCTGTGAGGTAGCCCAGCGTCTACCAACATGGCTGCAGCGGTCTCAGTCACCGTTCGGATCGCTCTTTCAGCTACCCCGTTTTGGAAAGACGAGTAGGGTGTTGTGTGCTGTGTGAGGATTCCACGACTGTGCGCCAGCTTTCTGAAGTCCTTATTCAGGAACTCGGTTCCTCCATCTGTGCATAACACCTTGATGGACGTTGCAGAGACGGCAGCTTGGGTTTCAATCATTGCCAGGAACTGCTTCACCTTTGCTGCAGCTTCGTTCTTTCGTTTTAACGGGTACGTGGCGACATAATCACGCCATACAGCCACCATAAAGTATCGATACCCCTGCACGGAGGCGGATATTGGTCCGGCGAGGTCGACATGACAGATGCCGTCAGTGACTTCGTCGGGACTTGAACGAGCGCTTGGAATCGACTGCCGCGTAGCTTTGGTGAGCGCACACACGGTACACATCGAAGGTTTGGCTCCTGAATCGACACGCAGCCCTCGGACTACACCACTGGCGGCCATTTTCTTAAGAGTGTCGTAATTTACGTGCCCCAATCTTCTGTGCCACAGTTCCAGTGTTCGCCCAAGAGCAGTCGCCGAAAGTCCGGATGCTGACAGAGGGACAGCGTCACACTGCTGGGCCGTTAATACTGAATAGACCCCTCCAGTGAGACGTGCAATGCACTTCGTCGAGCCTCGCGATGAAGCTATGGTACAACAGGTAGGACCAAAACGCACAGAGTGTCCGTCTCGCAGCAATGCCGACACGGATAGGAGAGTGTGTGGAAGACCGTCGACTAGATAAACGTTATCCAGTAGGAGATCTTTGTGAACCTCGTTCCCACCCCTGTCTTGGACAAGCGCTTTGACACGGAGCCGTCCTTTTGCTCTGCCTACTACCATTCGTCCGTCCGCCACACGAATAGCGAGCGTCACGCTGTCATCGGTGACCTCAAAGTCTTCACGTTGGCTGGTCAGGTGGTGTGACAAGCCCGAATCTATCAAGATCGAGCTCCACCCGACGCCAACCCTTCAGGCCGAATTATCCGACGACTCGTCCTCCACTGCTGATTCCTCTGCTTGGGCTGTCGCCGAGTGACCTTGGGCAGGTGAGTCTTCAGATGACTTGGACAAGTGCTCTCTGTGATATTTGGCTGTGTGACCTTCTTCGCCACAGATGAAGCAGACGATGGCACTTCGGGAGGGGGTTCTGGACACCTTGCGTTTCCGTTCTACCACGGCCACATGGGCCTTTCCCTTGGGTTTAGAAACTGCTGGTTTGGATGCCAAGGGCGTAGTCTTTGACTTCGTATCCCCACGCAGCGCACGCGAGCCGTCTGATAGCTTGCGTCGCTTGTAGTCTTCCAATCGACCGTCGGATTGCGATAGTTCGCTCAAGAATTGTACTGCATCGCTCAGTATGCTTGTTGGAGAGTCTATTTTCCCACGGGCATGAGCTTGAACTATGTCTTTCCGGTGGGGCCACGCTAGTCGAAGGAAGGTGCCCAGTGCGTGCTGTACACTAGCTGCGTTGCCAATTCCCCCGGTGAGACCGTCAGACATCTGCAGCAGTCGATCAGCATATTCTTGGTACGTCTCTGATGCACGCTTCCCTTCGCTGTATATCCTCGCCGTGATTTCCTGGTCAGTGAGATTTAAGCGGAACCTATCGATTAGCGCGACACCCGCTTCCTCGAATGTCGCAGCTGGGTGTTCCTTGCGGTATGATCGAAGCCAGCGACGTGCAGATCCCGTGAGGAAAACAGACAATGCCGATTTCTTGACACTTTCCGTCCATTCCTGTCCGGCGAGAACTTGAGCGTCCTCTACTTGGTCAGCAAACTGTTCTCACCAGTCGCGGACGCCGGAGTCGTAAGCTCCGGGTGGGACAGCACCCGAGAATGCTTCTGACTTCACGTTTCTTAGGTCCACCTTCTCAGTTCTCTTCGTAGTTCTCTCGTCACCTACTCCCGCAATCAATGCGGGGTTTGGCTCATCGTCGGGCTCGTGCGCGCCTCGGGCTGCCGCAAGAGGCGCAGCCTGCACCGCAGGTGGTAGCGCAGGATTAAGCACAGGCACATCTTGGTCAGCAACGCCTTGCGGTAGTGGGGCGTTCTGATTGGCCTGGCCATCAGCGGCAGCTTGATAAAGAGTGTTACGACGAGTCGACATGGAGCAGGTTGCGGCTGTTAACCAGTTAGACGCGAAGGAAGAGGAGACTTGAGTCGGGCAAAGTAAATTGTAGAATGAATTACGAGTGCTGGGTCGAATCGGTCCTAGCTGCAATCTTGTCGTGTAGGCGTCCTGTGGGCAATCTAGGGACATCCTGAGCGTCTTCTTTGAGGATTCTCTGCCCTAGCGTCATCAATAACTCATAGGATGCACCACTGTCATCGCCAGGTCCGGTACGCCTTCATGTGCCAGTTGTTCATCCGGTATCAGGCAACCGCCAATACCAACTAAGGTGCGTTTGAGTTGAAGTGCCTCCACTTGACTCATTGTAGATAAGGCCCCACGTTGCAGCTACATTTATCGTATTGTAAATATACCTGCTCGAAGTTGGTCATGAGCTCAGATTTACTCGTTTTTGTTCGCCCACTTCAACTTGCTTCATACAAATATTAATATCAAATTGTTTTTTAAGACTTAAAAGCAAAATAAAGTACTGTAATTCGTTCTTCGAAGTCACTTCTAGAAACACGTTACAAGTTCCAAGCAATCAAGGCAATAATGCTTGAACTTCAGCGTGTGCCGGTCGCATTTCTGCTTGGTGCGTGCCAGCGTGTCTTTTTGGTTCTGAAGCACGAGTTTTGCAGTATCCCCCCCCCTTCGTGTGCCGCTGTCTGCTTTTCTGCTTGGTCTTAAGTCCACAATTTAATTTAGACAACTACAAGTGGACACCTCTAATACATTCACAGTAATGTGCAAGGCAGACATCTCTTACCTCCTCAACTCGTCTACCACGGAAGACTGTGCTGGTTTCGACAACGTAGTAATCCCTATTTCACCTCCGCTCACGTCGCTCTTCCAGATTCTGTCCCCGATCAATCAGAGCCCTGAGCCGAACTCGCCGTTAAACTCGTACCCCCGCCGTCTAATTAGTTCAAATATCGCCCCGCGATTCAAGAAAACTCGCGTTCATAGTAGCGACAAAGTCAATTATCCGGTGTTGTCCTTGGCGGCGCTGTACATGTCGAGCGAGATATTCCACCCGGCTGCTGCGAATTTACCTGCGAAGTCTCGCCATCACAAGACCCACACTCCTCCGTGCCAGGTCGACGGGTGCAAGAACTTTGCCGTCTCTCGTGGTCACTGTGTGCGCCACGGTGGCGGATCCAAGTGCACCATGTCCGGTTGCAATAAACGTGCCAAGTTGTACCAGCGCTGCTTCCAGCACGGTGGCTACAAAATGTGCACGGAACCTTGTTGCACCAAGAAGGCCAAGCGCTACGGCCATTGCTGGTCACACGGCGGCGGTCATATTTGTGAATTTCCCGAATGCACCAAGGTGTCCACCCAGGTGGCCTGTGCTGGGCCCATGGAGGTGGCAATCGCTGCAAGCACGAGAGTTGCAACCGTCGTTCGTATCAGAAGTACAACTACTATTGCAAACGCCACATCGAGTCTACCACTATTTACTGAAGCTACGGTACTGCGCTCTAATTTCTAGACCTATCCAAACTTAGCCAATAAGATCACCTCAACAAAATTTAGATATTTGCGTGCCGATGTCTAAGACGTATGCGGACACCACCCTATGCCGCCGACTAGCTATACTGAGTCTAGCGCAGGCATAATTTGGCTACGCGAACACGTAAACCATTACATGTCTAAGAAATACTGCAATACTAAAAAATGTAAACGATCATTTAACTAACGGGAATCAAGTAAAAACCATGGCAGCGCTGCGATTTGGACTTGAGAAACCTTTATCAGAAATTTCAGACATATAACCAAGTCATCTCTGATACATGTACGTCTATTAATACTAGCTGCGCTCTGCATATGTTGGCTCATCACAGCGTCAAAACCTGCAGAGTTTGCAATGCACAAAACATCAACCAAATGTCCGGTGAGTATTTGCTTAGAAAGTCAGGTTTTAAAGAGCTTTTCATTATTAAACGTCGTTATCATGTTCTGTGGTTTGCTGAAAAAAGTGAAAATCATGCACAAACAAGGAAAAAAAAACGAACTGTGCTCTTTGACGATCTGCGATGCAGGGAAGGCACGCGCTTTGACTCACAGACTGTGAGAACAAAGGTCGTTGTTTGCCGACGCGTGCTTCGCACCACCAGAAGCCTCTGATTGGCAGTCCACATATCAGCACTGCAATAAATCGCGAAATCCTACACTATTTGTCAGCTGAGTTGGACCACCCGAATTCCTGTGGCCAATTGCCGCTTACAGCCGCGTGTCTGTAGTACAGTTTGTAGGGCTTCCGATGGTACAGACTCTGTACCATCGGAAGCCCTACAAAGTCCAAGTCAAAACAAGGATGCGCCGCATTTCAGCGTGTGCCGGCACGCGCGCGAGATTCGACCAATCAAACGGCGGTGCGCCACGCGCTCTTCAATTTGGAGCACGCTTGACAGACACGCACTCCAACAACGCGGCATTGACTCTCTCTGCTGCTTCGGTCTCACTTTGCCACAGTCATTCCTAGTGCCATGCTTTTCGTTTTCATGGAGCATAACTAAATTGCACCCGTCGACCAAACGCTTGGCGACTGCATCCCATTGCACACTTCCACCCATTGACTGACACTGCAACTACATACTTCGAAGTACTACAAACACAACGATGAGTGGCAAGTCAGACATCTCGTTCCTGCTGAACCCGCAGCCCACAGTCGAAGAATGGTCCATGCACTTAACTCCGCCCATGTCACCGTCACCGTCAGCCACGGTTGCACGACTGACTGCAATGGCGCAGAGTCCGGCCGCGTCAGCCATGTCGTCATCGCTCCTGCTCCTGGGTTCGTGCATCGCGCCACGCGAGAAGATGAGCAGTAGCTATCATTGTGTGAACACCACGAGTAAGAAACCGCTGCTTCCAGCGCTGTCACTCGCTGCATTGTGCGAAGCGAGTAGTGGCAGCAGCAACTACAATAGCAGTGGCGCCGAGTCTAGCTGCAGTGACGATGACAACGAGGGACCAACCACGGAAGCAACGCCATCGACATCGACTAAGACGCAGCATACAACCTACACGACTACTGATCCGAAGCCCACCACCGCCGCTAAACTCAAGCCCAAGAAGACTCGGACAGCACGCACTCGAGTCCGCAAGAGCCGCACGCCACCCTGCCAGGTCGAGGGGTGCACGAACATTGCCGTGTCTCGCGGCTGTTGCGTCCGTCATGGCGGCGGCTCTCGGTGCCCAGTGACGGGATGCCCCAACCGCGCCAAGCTGTACAAGAAGTGTTTCCAGCACGGTGGCTTCAAGACGTGCGCGACCGAGGGATGTACGCGCAAAGCGAAGCGGTACGGCCACTGCTGGTCGCACGGCGGCGGTCGAATCTGCGAGGTTCCTGATTGTGAGAAGGTGTCTACACAGGGCGGTCTGTGCTGGGCTCACGGCGGCGGCAATCGCTGCGCTGCAGTCGTCGTTCGTACCAGAAGTATGGGTAGTACTGCGTGGATCACGCGTCTTGTAACAAGGCCGAGCCCACAGTGTGAATCGTGTGTCTTCAACACGTTATACTACTACTTGAACTACTATTTGATACCATGTACCTGGTAGTATTTTTTATAATTGAAACATTCACTGAAACATTGGCATTTAATTGGTGTTACTACAGATTTTCTAATAGTAGTGGTAGATCCCTAGTAAAGTCCTCCCCGAGCACATTTCAATTTACAGTTTATGCTTGTTCGGTGGATCGAGGTCGTAGTAGTCCACATGGGCTCCAGTCTCGTAGTCCCCGCTGATGGCAAGTTTCACGCCGCGTTCTGAAGACTGAGCTGGCGGGATAAGCGCTCCTTTAGCCTTCATGTCAGCGAACTGTTTACGAAGCTCCGGATCCAATTGCGGCGTCTCGCGCAGTGTCTTCTGCATGTCCGTGTCCATCGGCCCAGGCGAGTACTGCAGCACACGCACCTTACCAATTGCCGCCTGCTCCGTTGCGACCACTCGGTGGTGCATCTCACGCGCCGCTTTACCCGTGCAGTATAGCATATGCGTCTTGAAGGGTTCAATACCGCAGAGCGACGTAACATTGACAATCACAAGCTGTGCATGCTTCTCATTCGAGGGGGCTGCAGGTGCTAACAGCTCGTCTCTGGATGCCCCAAATACGTCCAGGAATCGCTTGTTAAGCCACAATACTGACGTGACGTTTAGTTCCCAATACTGTGACAGGTCTGTCGGGGAGGTTGCACATTCCTGTACCAATCCGAGCTGGCCTAAAGATCCCGCGTTGTGCACGAGGTAAACTCGGTCGTAGCTTTGCTCTGCTAGCTGCAGCAGCGCTTGATCCACCTTGGCGGTGTAGTCCACCGAGCTACTCAGATCCACTGATTGTAGAAAACACTTCAGCTCACCCGTAGCGGCTTGTTTCTCCCATTCTCCACGCGCCAGACGCTCAGTTTCTTTCAGATCAGCTTCACTACGAGCCCACAAGTGCTGTAACCAGCATTAGATACCCGGAAGAGCGACAAATAATCGTGTCGGCAGCTGCTACGTACCAAATCAATGCTCTGCGCCTTAAGCAGACGCACAAAGTCGAGCGTAAGGCAACGGCCGAAGCCCCTCGAAGCTCCCGTGATCAGAACAGCGCTTTTCATTTTTTACCACACTAATTTTACACAATTACCGCTTGGAAAAAAAGGTTATCTTACAAACTCCAAGATAAACCGAGAGCCAATTTGGTTCATTGACATGCCACGAGGTGTTCGTAGAGAAGATCTCAATGCTGCCGGTGAGGGAAGCCCCACCGAAGGGAAGGTGCGTCAACGCTTTGGTCGCGACGAGGACCATCTGCTGGCCTTGCAAGTAAGTGTTGACGCACCGTATAACGCTCGCCATGGCGCTATCGGGGAGACATGGGACGCCGTCGCTGAACGGCTGAACGAGCATCCCGACTTCCACATGCGCCCCATTAAGGGCACAACAGCTAAGGCGCGTTTCGATACAATCGTGGCTCGCCATAGACTGTTGATGGAGAAGGCTAGTGTCGAAGAATCTGATGAAATGAAGAGTCCGTTCCGCAGGATAATGAGCGATCTGGTTCAGGAGATCGACTCTCGTCCCAAGGGCAACACCAAACTTCCTGAACATGAAGGTGAGGAAGACCAAGAGGAGAGAGCAACAAGGGAACCACGAAGTAGCTCCAGACTTGGCAAACGTCGAGCCAGCTCGGACGCATTTGAAGCGGAGCCTGAGCGACGCGAAGTGCCAAGAACTACTGGCACGAAGCAGACGCGCATTCAACCTGAGCCTCCTGTGTCCGAAGAAACAGAAGTAGATGAAGAGCCTACTCCGTCACAGGAACCAGTGACGGTAGACTTAATCACAGTCCAACAGGCGATGGCCGAGCTGATAAAAATGCAACACGCCATCGCGACGGCACCTAGTGACGCTCCTTTCCGTGAACTGGAAAAGATAAACGCAACGAGAATCCGTGAAGAGGAGGAGAAGACCAAACAGCGTGGGATCGAGCTTCAAATCGAGATCCAGCGCACTAAGCGACGACAGTTGGAGCTGGAGTTTGAGCGAGAGGAACGGAAGAAGGATCGTGAGGAACATGCCAAGTTGATCGCGAGTCTAGTGCAGCGTCTTGAACCAAAGAAAGATTAAACTCTGCCTCCCCCAATGGGATTTATGAAACACAATATCTTGCGTATTTTAAATTGTCCGGTAATACCCAGAAAACTTTACTCTCTTTGGGACTCGGGACTGGAGCGGAGAAATGACTTTACATGTGACCAAAAATCGGGGCATCAGCAGAAAAGCATTTATTAATATATTACAGTACATGTACTTCAAGTGAATGCTTTTCTGAACAAGCCAAAAGCTAATACAGAAATCTGCCTGAATAAGGAACAGGGTTATATTCGGGAAAGATTTAGGGAGATGGGATAGTGATGGGCAAGGTACTGACGAAACAATCCAGGCACTGACATTGATTTCTATTTTAAAAATGGCGCGCAGTGACCCTCCTTCGCTTCAAGCCCTACGAGCCGAGCTTCATTCCTACACTTACATTCAACCTTACTAGCCGACTGCGTCCTCAGCACCCCCATTTCCTCCAATCGTCTCCGCCTCACGTGGTCCGAGAAGGTAGCCATCCTTCTCGAGGTGAGCGAGCAGCCTTCTCGAGGCTGCTCGCTCACCTAATCTGTCGTATAATGAGCTAGCTGAGCGGATCGCCTAGGCGAAGGCCCTCGGCAACCCGTACAGCGTCGACCAGCTAAATGTACTGCTCTGGTGCGAGGCTGCATTGTCTAAAGATAGCGCTTCCACGATTCAGCACTTGGAATCACTCTGGTCTCATTCAAAAGTCGAATCTTCAATTTAGCCTAACTTAATTCAATATATGCACATGATCCGATATCATAGTCTGTTTTTAGCAAGGCATTGTCAGCTTATGCAATCTCTTTCTTAATTTATATCAGGCGTTCCTTATTCAGGCAGATTTCTGTAAATATTTAACCAAGCTACCAAAAACTTTCAACTACAGAACTATCACTCGTTCAACCGATTCAATCTGCAGACTCGACCTTGTTCCGAGACGCGTGATCCACGCAGTAGTACCCATACTTCTGGTACGAACGGCGACTGCAGCCCTCCAGTTTGCAACGGTTGCCACCGCCGTGAGCCCAGCACAGACCGCCCTGTGTAGACACCTTCTCACAATCAGGAACCTCGCAGATTCGACCACCGCCGTGCGACCAGCAGTGGCCGTACCGCTTCGCTTTGCGCGTACATCCCTCGGTCGCGCACGTCTTGAAGCCACCGTGCTGGAAACACTTCTTGTACAGCTTGGCGCGGTTGGGGCATCCCGTCACTGGGCACCGAGAGCCACCGCCATGACGGACGCAACAGCCACGAGACACAGCAATGTTCGTGCACCCCTCGACCTGGCAGGGTGGCGTGCGGCTCTTGTGGACTCGAGTGCGTGCTGTCCGAGTCTTCTTGGGCTTGAGTTTAGCGGCGGTGGTGGGCTTCGGATCAGTAGTCGTGTAGGTTGTATGTTGCGTCTTAGTCGATGTCGATGACGTTGCTTCGGTGGTTGGTTCCTCGTTGTCATCGTCACTGCAGCTAGACTCGGCGCCACTGCTATTGTAGTTGCTGCTGCCACTACTCGCTTCGCACAATGCAGCGAGTGACAGCGCTGGAAGCAGCGGTTTCTTACTCGTGGTGTTCACACAATGATAGCTACTGCTCATCTTCTCGCGTGGCGCGATGCACGAACCCAGGAGCAGGAGCGATGACGACATGGCTGACGCGGCCGGACTCTGCGCCATTGCAGTCAGTCGTGCAGCCGTGGCTGACGGTGACGGTGACATGGGCGGAGTTAACTGCATGGACCATTCTTCGACTGTGGGCTGCGGGTTCAGCAGGAACGAAATGTCTGACTTGCCACTCATCGTTGTGTTTGTAGTACTTCGAAGTATGTAGTTGCAGTGTCAGTCAATGGGTGGAAGTGTGCAATGGGATGCAGTCGCCAAGCGTTTGGTCGCCGGTTCAATTCAGTTATGCTCCATGAAAACGAAAAACATGGCGCTAGGAATGAGTGTGGCAAAGCGAGACCGAAGCGGCGGAGAGAGTCAATGCCGCGCTGTTGGAGTGCGTGTCGTCTGTCAAGCCAAGCGTGCTCCAAATTGAAGAGCGCGTGGCGCACCGCCGTTTGATTGGTCGAATCTCGCGCGCGTGCCGGCACACGCTGAAATGCGGCGCATCCTTGTTTTGACTTGGACTTTGTAGGGCTTCCGATGGTCCAGACACGCGGCTGTTGTCAGTTCAGGCGGCAATTGGCCAGGTGGTCCAACTCAGCTGTCAAATAGTGTAGGTTTTCGCGATTTATTGCTGTGCTGATATGTGGACTGCCAATCAGAGGCTTCTGGTGGTGCGAAGCACGCGTCAGCAAACAACGACCTTTGTTCTCACAGTCTGTGAGTCAAAGCGCGTGCCTTCGCTGCATCGCAGATCGTCAAAGAGCACAGTTCGTTCTTTTTCGCTACAGCACCAGGCAACTTGATTGTGCACGATTTTCACTTTTCTTCAGCAAAAAGCTTTTCCTAAAAAGCCTGACCTTTTTTAGGTAGATTTTGTTTTAAATTGCTAATGTGCCTAGATTTGAACGTCCTTAACTTGGTAAGGTCAAATCTGTTTTTGGTTGAAGAAAGGGCATTCCCCAAAATTCGTCGGGCAATGGCGTCGGACTGACATTTTCTTAAAAAGCTCATTATGTTCTCTTTATATCGGGATGGGAGCAAATCGCGATTCCCACAAAACGTCGGACAAAAGTATAACCGATAATTGGCGAGGTTGATGCAAGAGATGAATTACCGACCACAAAACCCCGGTATATAGGAGCTCATACAGATAGGAGCTATTCATATGTCGCATGGCTACACGAAGTGCATTTCCACTACACACTTCTACAGAATTAGTTATAAAGGAACTTGCTAGTAAAGCCGCCTGCCCCCTTTTTAGCTTCAGGCTTGCCTAATTATTGTCCCAACGAAATATGTACTCTGTCGTAGTGCCTTGATTTACTTCGATCTGCTTAGCACGGCAGATTGGATCATCAGCTACGCAATAAATCACGAACTCAGCGTGGTTGCTGGACATCACCTCTGACTCAGAGTGAATCTTATGCTCACGTCAGCTGTGAAAGTTTCCGGTAGATAAGATGTTGAAGTAGCGCGCCAAATTTATATAATATATTTAAGATCAATGCGGCTGCATAGCTTGACAACAAGGAGAGACTTTATCACATGTGGATTCTCCTTCTCCTTGCCAAGCACTGCAACCAAGATCCCGGAGCTGAGGCCCCGCTAGAGAGCGTTCAACTTCCTTCTATATTTACTTCAGAATGAGGAAACGTCTGGTTATGATCCTAAACAGGGCCTCTCTTCGTGGCCAAGGATCATCAAGGAAGGCGGTCCGAGCTGAGCCGAAGGGTCGCAAGGAGGGCAGCAAAGACACCGGGAACAACTCCAGTGAAGCGGCGTCGGAGCCGTCAGGCTCGACACCGTCGTCACCATCGTCCGGCGGTGCTTCCGCAAGCAGCAGTTCTGCGAGCTCTGTGCATTCCAATATCTCGTGAGACTGTAGTGCGTCTGACTCAAGTTCAAGTAGCTCGGAAGGGCGAAGCAGCTCTAAGCGAAAGCGTGCTACCAAGAAGAAAGGCTCCAGCAATAAGAAGCGTAGTCGGTCCGCGGTTAGGGACACTCTAACCCTCGAAGTGCCTAAGCTCACTGGTGCTGATGACTATGAGCTATGGCGGACAGCGATCGAGTTAAAAGTCAAGGTACAAAAATTGTGGTCTTTAGGGATCCGAGAAGTGGTTTAAGACAGCTCCTGGAGCTTTGCCAAGAAGCGTCACTGGAACGAACGCTGGCTCAAGGCTCAAGCTGTCATCCCTGACTCGCTCGACCCGCGCTTAGCCGGTCGGTACAGGCGACTGCTTGTTAGCTGTGATCCTGTACAGCTATTTGTAGAGATCGAGAAAGAATACAATGCTGGAAGCACCGCCAAGAACGACATCCTGATCAAGACCGCGATGTTTGCGCGGAAACTGACTAAACGTGAGCGTGTCGACACGTACATCGACGCTGTTATGCAGCTACAAGAAGACCTCGTGACGCTTGGGCACCCTCTTGAAGATGCTGAACTTGCCCGACTTCTCCTCACTAATGCCCTTGAAGTATTCCCGGACCTGCGTACAGAGTTTGTTGGAGCAAGGATGAAAGCCAGGGAGTTTGAAGCCGGTCAAGTACGTGGACGACTATTGGCAAGAGAGCAGGAGGAAAATATGCGACTTCCATCCAGTGGCAATATGTCTCAAAGCGGTGGTAATTCTACAGGTTCTCAAGGGGGCCAATCTACTACAAATGCAGTTTTTCAGTTTTCGACTGGAGGGAATGACGGCCACGGCTACTACCAGCATCAAGGCAGGGAGAGCCAGAGCCGCCGACGGTCAGTGAAGGAAGCTATGCAGCGACGACCGTGTGCGATGTGTGGAAAACTAGGCCACTGGTATCGAGAAGACTGACAGAAGGATGACCAGAACTCTGGCAACCAACAGAAAAACAACGGTAGCAGAAGGCCGTCTAGTCTAGGAGGCGGTCGTCGTGGTGATCGAGGTGGTGGTCGGCATGACAAGGCTGATCCTAAGTCATTCATGGCGAATATCGGTGGAGTTTTGTCGGTGGGAGGTCCTGATGTAGTGGAGTGGTGCTTGGACAGCGGTGCGACGGCGAGCATCTGCAACGATCTTTCACAGCTCACCGAGATCTCGGCAAGTGGTGATGGTCTTGAAATGCTGTGCGCAAATGAAAATACTGTGCGCATTAAACAAGCTGGTACTGTGGAATTCTTGATCGCTAACGAGCTAACAGGACGCCAGGATAAGCGACTTCTTCCTGATGTCTACTATGTGCTAGATGCACTTATCAACTGGCTCTCGCAGGATTACATGCAGACACAACTGAATTACTTTGTCTCCATGTCTGCGGATCAGTCGCTCTGCTATTTGACCAAAGAAGGAATGCGCCTCAAGTTTCTAAAAGTTGGCTATTTGCATCGATTGTGGTCATCACGCCAGCACAATAAGAAGAAATCTATATTCTTCAGTACAGTAGTGAGCTCCAGTAAGTCCGTACCTTTGACGGTCTGGCGTAAGCGATTCGTACATGCAAGCGTATCGACGATCCGAGACATGGACAAGAAGAAAGCTGTTCACGGTCTGAATATTGCTGCTGGAAAGGGAGACACGTTATCCAGCTGGATTCCGTGTGTTCATGACAAGAAAGTTCGAATAACTCACCCAAAGCGGTTAGTACATACGACACACCCCTTACAACGACTTCATGTCGATGTTTGTTCAGTGAATGAGCTCACTATTGATGGGAGTACCGCTTTCTTGGTTGTAGTTGACGAATTCAACAGATACAAGTGGATCTATCTCCTGCGACACAGAAGTGACGTGAAACCACACCTCATCACGCTTGTGAACCGCCAGCATGTGAAATATCGAGCTAAGAACTGGCGCGTAGAATAAATACACTTGGACCAAGGGAGAGAGCTCGATAAACACATGCCTTCAGGAATTCAGCGCTAAAGAGGGGATTTATCTGTCAACAACCGATGGCTATACTCCACAAGAGAACGGTATCATTGAGTGTTCGAACGGAATCGTTTTGCCTAAGGTTCGAGCTCTTTTTCATATGACAAACCTTCCGGAGTAACTGTGGGGAGAGGCCGCGCAGCATGTTGTCTACACGCTGAACGTCACAACGACGAGAGACTTAGAAGGGATGACACCACACGAAACGTTTTCCGGTCACTTGCCTGATGTGGCGTGCTTAAGGACCTGGGGACGCCTGGCATACTACCACATTGCTAGTGGAGCGCGATCTAAGAAGAAGAAATTGTCGTCTAGAGTTGAGACTTCAATCCTCATAGGGTACTCTCCTGCTACATATGGCTATAAAGTTTTGGATCTCTCGAGCGGGGCAGTTTCGACTCATCGGTGGAGACTTAACATTTGCCGCAGACTACACAGTGGCGCGCAACTATATGGGCATGCTATTGAGTATGCTTTTAACCATGGCGATCATGATCTTCCAGCGAGGGTATCGCTTGTATCATTGCAAATGCAGTTAGACGACGCTGTACGGTTAGATTTAGACAGACAGAGTATTCTCGTGCAGACCAACCAAGTTCAAGTTGCCGTGAAGCCGCCTGATGCTGCTATCCCTACCAATCCTGCTCTTGCCGATGATCAGTCTAATATCAGTGTACTTCCACTGGAAGTTCCAGGGAATACTCCCATTGTAAATATTGCTGAAGGTGATACTGTGGCTTGGCAAAAAGTTTCACGATTTGGAGGAAATCGAAAAAGAAGCTCTCGACTGGATGATTTTGAGCTTCATCCCGCTGTTTCGCAGAGCGAGTTACGACCAACTAGTGAATCGAAATTGCACTCTCGGGATGTACCTTTTCCAGCCACTTACAAGTAAGCCATTCGCTCAAAATTTGCGTCGCAATGGCAGGCAGCCATGAACGAAGAGCTGGATCCGCTACGCAGACATGGTGTGTGGATTCTTGTGGAGACTTTTGCTCCGGCGATTCGCTTTGACACGATTCGAGTGGTCATTTATTTTGCAGTTCAACGGCAGTAGGCTGTTTTCCAATACGTTGTTAAAAACAGCCTTTCTCCACGGAAATTAGCAGAGCTAGTCTTCATGGAATTACCTCAAGGCCGTCGCTCGCCTGGATATTAGCGGATTTGTCAGCTGATCAAGTCGCTATACGGCTTGAAACAAGCCCCGCATGTCTGGAACAAGACGCTGCATCAACATCTCGTTGCGCTTGGATTGATTCGCTTGGAAAGCGACCATGACCTTTATTTAAGGGG